GGGGGGGGGGGCCTGGAGAGGCCCAGAGGGAGAAGTGGAACCAGAATCACTCTCCGAGGGAGGGCACCTCTGCCAGCTGGCAGTGCCTGCCCCTTTCGAGACACTGAGTGGCTCTCAACCAGTGACCCAAAGAGCAGGGGACCCCCTCACCACGTGCTCCTGGACTGGTGTGGCCCTGCTAAGGCTCTCTGAGGAAGTGGACACGCCACCACACCTTCGTGCCGCTGAGAGCAAGGTGAAGGGGACACGTTTTCTAATCGCCCTGCTGCTTCTGTTTGCCGCCCCACGTGAGTCCTGCCAGCCGGAGCCGCCAGTCGGAGGCCAGTTGCATCTGCAGAACTAAGGACCCAGACCTTGGACCCCCGTGGGTCCTGCCCCAGCAGGCCCCTTGGCAAGCAGCCAGCAGGCTTACCCTGACCACACCCTGCCCGCGCTTCCAAGCCTTCCTTATGGGCCAGGCTCCAGGGAATCACAAATGAGGACCCAGGGGGTTTGCTTGGGGTGAGCGCACGAATAGCAGCTATTCCCAAGATGGTTGAGAGCACAGTTGCATGCCAAGGGCACAAAAAAAAAATGGCACCATTATCAGGTACTCTCCTGTGCCAGGATCCCAGTGAGATGCTCATGAATGTGGTTTTTGTTTTTGTTTTTGTTTTTGTTTTTTTGTTTTTTGCTACCTAGGATTGAACTTGGGACCTTGCACTTGCCAGGCCGGCGGCGGAACCCCTGAGCTAAATCCCCGGCCCATGAATCAGTAACTGTTAATACAACTGTTGTGAACACAAGGAACTGAACGAGGCAGCAGGTGCTAAGGACCTGGGGTAGCTTTTGCTTTTGTTTCTCTAGCCTGTCTTTCTCACCATCTACTCCAAACACTTCTCACCACTTTTTTCTCTTTCACAAAGCCCCCTGCTTGCCGATATACTCAAAAGAAAATCCAGCTTTCCGGCTGATCCTGATACCCAAAAGGGTCTGTCTGAGATCTGTCTGTGGAGACATTTCTCAAAGTAGAATCCATCTACATCAGAATCATAAGAACGTTTGTTAACTGTGCAGATGTTCAGATCCCATCCAGACCTGCTAGATGCTCGTCTCTGGGTTTGAGACCTAGAAATGGGCATTTTACAAGTGGGAAGGCGGCTCAAAGGGAGTGTGTGACCGTATCTCAAAACTCATGTAAGCGCTCTACGAGGAGCTGGCCCAGACAGGAAAGTCCTGATTCATTAGGCCCCACCCCCTTTGGCCCTTCTATCAGGCAATTCAAAGTCTCCAGGCCCCAGAGAGTTACTGATTAACCCTCAGTTTCCAGTAAAGAAATAATAATAAGCGAAGGAGCAACATAAGCCAAGAAAGAAGCTGGGCAGCCTAGGGAGAGCGTGGTGCCCGACAGCTGCTGACTGCAGGCACTCGGTGAGTGTGAAAAGGAGGCTTGAAGCATCCAGCACAGGTCAGAACCCACCCAGATCCCGGCAGCACTGGCTGACGCTCCCTGTCCACATCCAGGGGTCGAGCGACTCTGTCCCGCTGGCTCTGTGCCCAGGATGTCTGACACCGAGGCCCCGCAGCAGCCCCAGCCCATCACCATCACTTTGGGACCCGCTGGTCATCACCAAGATTGTGCAGAGGGCGACCTGGAGTGCCTGGTGTGCCGAGAGCCCTACAGCTATGCCCGGTCACCCAAGCTGCTGAGTTGCCAGCACAGCTTCTGTGCCGTCTGCCTGAAGCTCGTACTGTGTGTGCAGGAAGACTCCTGGTCCATCACCTGCCCACTCTGCCGGAAGGTCACCGCAGTGCCCGGGGGCCTCATCTGCAGCCTGAGAGACCAGGAGGCGGTGATGGGACAGCTGGCCGGGCCATGCCTGGAGGTGCGGCTCTGTCCTCAGGGGCTGCAGGGCTCTGCCTCTTCAACAGGGGGGCAGCCCAGCTCGGCAGGAGGGGATGAACAGGATGCGGTGACTGTGAACCAGGTTGCAGCCCGGCGCTTGGCCGTGCACCTGCTCCTGCTGGTCCTGCTCATCATCCTCATCCTCCCCTTCATCTACCCGGGCATCATCCGGTGGGTGCTGGCCTTCATTATCACTCTCGCCTTGCTGATGTCCACCTTGTTCTGCTGTTACTCGCACAACCAGAGCAGCTGCTGGCCCTGCCCCAGGACTCACTTCTGCGGAGAACAGAAACACAGCCAGATCACTTCCATCGCCTGACAGCCCCAGGAGCCTGTAGCCCAGCAGCCTCGTTGCTTCTTAGGGCCCTGACTCACAATCCGCAGGGTAAGGGACGGTGAACTCATCCTGGCTCCTCGGAGACTCCTTGCCAGGTGGACTTGCCTGCCACAGCCAGAATGGCCGTTCTGGGTTAAGAACTCTGTGCTTGGGCGGCGGGCTGGCACTTGCCTTTGGGGTTGCACAGCCCGATGTGAAGGGTGTGGGCAGGACTCACAAATGACGTGAACACTACAGGGGCTTCTCATTCCTGTTCTCATGACACTGCTGCTTCTGTGTGTAACCTGGAAGTATTGTAATGTTGACCTTGCAGAACATACAGAACTGACTCCTCTTTTTCAGTCGGTGTGGCTGGTTTTATCTCCTTGATTGGGGTAGTTTGATGCTTCCTATTGGGGGTGTTTTGTGCACATTTTAGCTAGTACAAGTTTTCCCGCCTGGGAAGCGCACTCCCGTGTTTGGCTGACATTGCTCATTTGTGCCCATTCCAACCTTGCCCCAGGTCCTACTGTTGGGGTCTCCTATGGATCAGTCCCAGAGTGGGAGGGAGAGAGGTTGTTTGGGGGTGGTACTTCCAGTGCTGCAGAGAAGCCCATATTTAGTGGGCAGAGTTGCGGGGGTAGAGGACAGGTGGGTCTGGGAATTGCTCTCGGCATCTGTGCTGGGATTCTCAGCTGTGTGCCAGGAGGCCGTGGCTTCACACAGAATCTCGGGGTTACAGCCTGATCCCCCTCCCCCAACGCAGGGGGTCCATGCCCATCTCGTGCCATGGCGCCACACCATAGAAGCGAATCTTTATGGATGGGTGCTGCCTTTTTGCTGCATCTCATGCCCTATTTGAACTTCCGTCATAAAGATAAGAAACCTTGTAAATGCAACGGTCCTCACCAATAACCTCATCTTTCTGCCTCACTGTAACAGTCACAGTCATCACAAAGGTCCCGGGGTCTTCTCTTGGGGACTATTTTTGCTCTCTCAATTAGGAAAGGTATCTGCAGGGGAGAATGACCTCCCATGGGTGCCCAGATAAGGGCTCAGTCAGGGCTGGACGTGGGCACTCAGGGGAGCCTCACTGCCTCTCTGAGCTGCATTTTCCCCAAATGGAGCTGGCCAGATTGTATTATTCCTAAAAACATGAGAAGCCCCAAGAGCCGAGGGCATTGGCGGCCGCAGGACAACAGACATGGGTCGCACCCCCTGTGGACTCACACAAACAGAAATCTAAATACGCCAATGCAAATTACTGTTCCTTGAGTCTGGTGCCTTTTTTTTTTTTTTTTTTCTTACAAGGTACTTGCCAGGCAACTCTGGGTGCTGGGGCAGAGGAGTGGGTGCGCATGGACCAGTGCTTTAATCCAGGCCACTTGGGCCTGAAGGACATCCTGTCCCGCTGGATGAGCAGACAAAGAGGACTGCTAGCATCTCCTGAGCTCGCCTGGGGCATGTGCCACTGGGGAAGCCTGCCAGTCTGATAGGAAAAGAACGTTCCCTCCTCACGCACTCCTCCAGTCCCATTCTATCTAGTTCCTGCGCCCTTCCCCAAGAAGAAACTTCCACCAAGGAGGCTTCGGATGTTAATGACAACATCATGTTTACCATAATGGTGGGTACATGTTGGTCCACCACTTAATGGTGCCCAGCTTTGCCCTGACTGATGGCTATGCCTCATCTAGCCAGATCTTCACAATAAGCTTGTGAAGGAGAGACCATCATCATCCCTCTCTTACAGCAGAAGTGGCTTGTCTAAGGCTGTATGGACAGGAAATGCCAGAGTTCCCTCAGGAATTAGTCTAGGGCTCTTCCTGTCCGGTCATTTGGCTTCTTTTAAGGGCAGCTCAAGAATAGGGAGAATGTGGACACATTCCCAAACTTCTGGCAGATTCCACAGAGACCAAGAAACAAATTTCAAGAGCCTCTCCAAATCCCACTGGTCAGGTACTCAGAAAGGTCAGGGAATTTTAGAATTTGGACTAAAAAAAAAGAAAGGAGAATGATAAAAAGCGTAATGGTTCTCCTGCAGACTTTCACAACCCAGTGCCACCCTCCCCATAGGGAATTAAGCTGACAGGAGCAATGGCAACCCAGATATGAGATCCCACCGGCCCATCCTAGTCCATTAGCAAGTTCTTTCTCCACCCAGAACCTCACCTTGTGAAGGACAGAAAGGCCCTAGAATAACGGCGTCATTCCTGGTACCTGGTACCCCCAACCACTGTGCTGTTTCCTTGGTCAAAGGTGTTCTGACACTGCTGTCCCCACCCCCTTCAAAACCCAGATGGTCCCAGCCACCTTCTGGTGTCTGGCATCTTGGGGACACAGAGTGGCAGAGGCTGGTACTAGTCCAGGCTGCCCTAGAGGTGGGCAGAGGGAACGGGAAGAGCTGCAAAAGGGTGTGAGGCCCAGGATTAAGGCCAAGATCTGGCCCAGGGATGGAGGAAATCACAGACTTTCTGCGAGCCTTACCCTGCTGCCTGTGAAGTGGGAAGGGTGGTACCCACCTCCCAGGGACTCCCTCGGAATACCAGGTACTCCTGGATTAGGATTAATGCCATCATTGACCTCTTGGGGGAATGAGTTTCTGGGAGTTTGTGTAGTATGACAGCCAGCAGAGCTCAGCCTCAATGGTGGAGCAGAGAAGCTGGCCCAGGGTGGAGAGAGTGCTATCCAGAGCAGAGCAATCCGGTGAAGTTTCTGCTTCAGCCCTAAGGATGGAGAGGAATTGGGGGTATGGAGGACAAATTCCACCCCCGTCATACCCGTCCCCTACTAAGTGGCCTTGGAGCCAGCCACACCTAGCTGGGATTCTAGCCTTACCTCTTACAAATCACCTAATCTCTGAGTCTTGGGTTTTTCTCCATCAAACAGGTTCCAGCCAGGCGGAGTGGGGGCACACCTATAAGCCCAGCACTCTGAAAGGCTGAGGCAGGAGGATTGCAAGTTCAAGCCAATTGGGCGATTAGTGGCTTAGGGAGACCCTGTCTTCAAAGTGAAAAAATAAAATAAAGGAAAAAGGGCCGGGATTACAGCTCAATGTGAAGACCTTACTTTCAACCCCTAGTACTGCCAGAAAAACATCTCACAGGCCACTGGGAGACTAGGTAAGAGCATCCCATGGTTGAGCACGTAAGCTCCTAAAGAGGTAAAGATTGAAGCAAGAAGACAGGAAAAAAGAGCAGGGGCTGAGCTCTAGAAAGCTCTAGCAAGAATGCTAGGAGCAGGCTCACTTACTTAGAGCGGGGCACTAGGATTGACCTCCTCCCTTGTCAATAGCATCCTCACAGTATTATAAAAATTACAATGATTGCTGACACTATTTGACTACACACCTCAGGGCGCTGCCTATCTTATCACATACGCCATAAGGTAGGAACTATTATTATCCACAGTCATCAAGGAGGCACAGAGAGGCAAGTAGCTCGCCCAGAATCACACAGTATGTTGGAGACGAGGCCAAGAAGAAACTGCAGAGGCCTGACACCAGAGTTTGAACTTTGAGTCACTCTGCTGTACCAGATGAGACATTCTCGGTGCATTGTCAGTACTTAAGGTATTAGGCTCCCCCGCTCCAGAGAGGAAAGAAGAAGAGCTGCAATTTCTCATGGCTATGGCTTCCTGGCTTAGGAGGCCCTGGGGCAGAGGGTCGTGGGTGCCTGCATGTCCCGTCCCCCCTGCCCCTTCCTAGCCTCACCTTATGGCCTCACTTCATTGCCGGGCCCCTGCTCATGATTGGAGCCCTCGTCGAGTACTGAAGGAAGTCTTTCGGCCTTTGCTAGAACAGTAAATTCTTTGTCCATGGCAGAGCAGGGCATTTCCGGGAACGAAGGAAGGGCTTGCCTGCAATTTCTCCAGCACTGGGGAAGGCACAGAGCACCGCTCCCCAGGCCTCTTCTTACGAACCGGACCTATCTGAGGCTGTCCTTAGGGACTTTGTCTTCTCATCTGAGTATCTTTGCTGCCAGTCAGCCTAGGGTTCTTTCACTTGATTCAGATGGAAATCATGAATCGGCAAAGTGCAACTCTGCTACAGTCTCGATGTCACCAGAAAATGCTGCAGACCGACAGCTGACCCAGCTCAGCTCTGGTCACCGCTGGTGCCAATCCTCAGATGTGGACTCAGGCTGGACATGGAAGGCCGACTCCACCAGCTGCTGGTCTCCATTGGCCGCTGTTCTCCGGAGTCCTTGGTGCCCACAGCTGTGGAATCCACCCCTCAGTGTCTCTAGGTTCATCGGCTCAACACTGACCATACCAAAGGAGGCCATAGATTTTGATAAAAATGAAAAAAAGGATTCATTCAAAGCTATCGCCAAGAAGACGGAGCCACCTCAAAATGCCATCTCCCCTGCATATCCTGTCGCTACTTTTTAGGCTGAAGAGAGGACGTATTGGTTGTGTGAAACTGTTCATCCCTGCGAGGAAAAATATTTAACTTTTAAAGTTCTATTTTGCAGTGCTGGTTACGCTATTGGTGTTTATTGCTCTTTCTTCTGAAAAGACCACTCTGTCTGTCATGTCTCTCCTAAGAATCCCAAGGAGACTTATACTACTTGGAGTGTAGGACTTGGAGCCCACACTACCCAAGAAATAAATCACGGCCCGGGCCGGGGATTTAGCTCAGTGGTTCTGACATCTGCCTCACAAGCACAAGGACCTGAGTTCGATCCCCAGTACAAATCAATCAATCAACCAATCAATCGCAGCCAGGTTTACAGGAACTCCCAAATAAAGTGAGTCTTTTTTTCTAACACAGCTTGTGGGGGATCAGTTAGAGGCAAGGCTGAAACCAGGGAATCCTCTGGAAGGCTCGCTGTGAGTGTTGGATATGAGAAGAAGGGTCCAGAGTCCTCCCTTCCCGGTCGTAGCTCCCTCCCTTCAGAAAGCCAGCCGTGGCTCTGAAGCTGTGAGAACCGGGCGGGGGCAGCACCCTGACCAGCAGGCCGCACGTGTGGTGGGGTAGAGCGGTGGTCTGATAACCCAGAAGAACACTGCTGGATGGCCAGAGGGGACACCGGCGGGGGCAGGATTGAGCTCAGTGGTTCCACCGCCTGCCTTGCAAGTGCAAAGACCCGGTGCCAAA